TGTGTGTGTGTGTGTGTGTCAATTCAGATGAGTGGTCTAATGATGATTCCGCTTTAAAGCTATTCTTTGTTGCTCTGATTGGCTTCACAAGGAAGTAGAAATCATTTTCAGGGCTTTGGACACTTCCTGATTCATTAGTGAGAGATTTGTTTGCTCCCTTTTTTGGAGCTGTTGCACTTTGGTCTCGGTTAAGAAAGTTTAGACAGTGTTGAGAAAGATGTTCCTTATTGCAAATCGTTGGCCACAAAACTTGTTAAGCCTGCCTGGTTCAACAGGTGAACCAATGTTAGAACATAACTCTGTTAATAAAGCTAATGTAGGAGACAGGAGAATCGCACATAGGCTTTATTTTACATTCTTAACACATTTATAAAACGACTGAGTTAAATAAAATGATTTTGGTGTCAGCTGTCTGATAGTGAGTTGGAGTTTGTAGATTTGTTGCTGTTCTTGGGATCATTGTCCTGTTACATTACACAGCAACACACAGCCAAGCTTAACCTGTCAGACAGGTTTGGCATTTCACTCTACGACATTTGACAATTTCCCCAGTACCCTTAATAATGGGTTTTGACACCTCTAGTATATATCAATAAAAACATGGCTAGATGCTCATTAGAATAGGTTCCTATTTTTTCCAAGGGTAGCTACACTGACAAAGACAACTCTCATTCCACAGGTCGGATTCGAACCAAGCTGTACAGTATATGGTCGCCTGCTCATCCCAGTGAGCTAAACTGGCTCTTGTTCATGGTTGACTTTACACAGTTGGTATGGGGTGTTTGTGCTGACATGGTTGTGTCTGTCTGAAGGACACTGTCCTAGAGCTCTTGTGATTTGTTCACATACAACTTTGCAAACTTAAATCCTGCAGCCATGTTCTTTTGTGGGAGAATAAGCTTCTTCTTTTTTTTTCATTTTTTTTTTCAAATTGATGTTCTAATAAGAAAACCTTTCTCCGGTTATTGTAGCCATTGGAATGTTTAATCACAAGATATCCAGGATTCGCACAACATTTGAATATTTAAAAAACCCAAAAACACCCCCGTTGTAAATCCGTCTCTGCCGGCTACAATTAACCAAGCCATAATTTCTTTTTACAGACAAACCGAAGAATTTAGGCAACATCTATGTTTTTCTTTGTGTCAGAGTCTCCTTGTGCCACTTCTATGTTAAGTCAACTGGTTGCATTGCTGTGGGTTTAAAGGACTGGGTCTGTTCTGTCATCTGCCTCATTCATCTTAAGACAGGGTCATGCGATAACTTTTGTATTCATGGTCCTTTGTAATTTTTTCAAATTCAAGCTGTAAAATACCAGCCTGTATGAGGTTCAAAGTTTAAAGGTTTAAGGCTTTGCATCAGTTTTTTACGAGGTGTGTCATCTAAAGGTGCAGACTGTCATTTACTCTAAACACACAACAGCGTCCTAGCAGATGAAATCTGACACTCACGGAAAAACAAACCAGTGAAAAGCTGTCTGTGTTGTCAGCATTTTGTATCTCTGACGTTTCTCTAAGTATTTCTCGAGTGGAGATTTGGAGGACGTTAGTGTAGTCTTTTCAATGAATTGTTTGTTTGACACACCTGATATTTCAATGACTGAACAATACTGAGATGAAAAACCTTCTGATGTTATGTGTTGCAGTAATTGGCATTTTATTAGCCCTTCCTGTTTTGAAGGATTACACTATAATGTACATTTAGCTTTTTGTTATGGCCACTTATTGCCAGCTTTGAATCACATGATTGGCCCTGAAGTTAATACATCCTGTTGTAATATTTGCATCCTTCTCGGAAAGCCTGAGGGACTATGTGCAATGTTGACACACTGTCCTTTCAGCTCTATTCAAATTACTCAGTGAGACGACTTTTAAATGTTGTAACTTTTAAGCTACCTTATGCTTTTAGTTTTCATAAAGTGAGGAGTGCAGCTTTTTCTTATGATCAAATATGAAGTACACGTGGATTACAAAGCCATAAATCGTTTAGTCATTGTATTTAATACCATATGAGGGTGGCTTGTCCTATCGGGTTATTCCTGCTCGACAGGATAATGCAGATCTGACTTTGGTGGATGGATTTTTTTTTTTCAGCTGAAAGTATCTCAAAGAAGTTTCCTGAGTTTCATGTTTTGCAATTAAACTAGTACACTTTGCTTTGTAGAGGCAGGACAGTCTCATTGTTTCAATTCAAATTCTATTTAAAAAAAAAACTGTCGACAAATGATTATCCTGAGAGCTGCTGCTGTCAGTGCTGTGCCTCACTCAGTAATTTTTTTTTACTCCCTATGGTATGATTAAACATATATTTTCTAACATAAAATATGCATTTTATTTTATATTCAGACCCGCTTGATTTGTAAGTCCACTGTATTCATTGTTGGTTCCTGCTAACTGTCCCTCTTTCTGTTCCAGGAAACAACAACGACATATTTTTTCCTAGTAATTCAATTCCTGTCATAGTGATTATACAGCAACACCTCTATGAACAATCAGCCCATAAAATATGAATGCAAGTCCCTGAAAGTTTTCCTTATTCACTTAAAAGTAATTCATTAACTTTAAACAGAGGGTGCCTGTTTTTTAAAGTTAAGCAAATCTAACTATAAGAAATATTTCAGGAACTGGCTAAATAAAACTCCAGTATAACCAGGTTGAAAGATGGCAATGGTCAAAATGTCTTTATCCAAAAAGGCCTGTTTTAATAACTGCACCTTGTCCATTGTTGCACAGTTATACATTAAATCAGCAGTTCAAAAATGTGTAAGAAACTGCTAATGTGTCCTTGATCATCTGTTCACAAATAAGGAAGTTGTTGATTAATGGCGAATGTTTGCCTTTCCCAGGACAACCAGCGCAGTTTGACCATAATTTCAAAGGACCTGTAAAGAATAGGTAAGCCTGACTCAAAGCTCACTGGATAGGTGGTGAAATTCTTACATTTTAACCCTCCTGTCCTCTGTCCAGCTATGTGGTTCCTGGTGTAGTGTGTGTGTGTGTGTGTTTTCTTTTGGCCCAGGAAGACACATTTATCACATTTAATGAAGACACATTTAACAAAATCAAAAACCCATGCAAAGCTTACCCTGTTCACTTTACTTAATACTATCTCACTTTCTTTTTCTTTTCTTTTCTTTTCCTTTTTTTTTCTTTTTTTTTTTTTACACAGAGGGTGTACAGATATAATCTGCTGTATTCTCTTCCTGCTGGTCATCATTGGCTACATAGTAGTTGGAGTTTTAGGTAAGAGAAACCCAACCCTGCCAGCACAGGCATTATGTGCCCAACTGTGTTTTCATATGTCCTCATGTTTTTCACTTCATACTCATTGCTGCTATATACTATAAAATACTATAAATACTATAAAATAATAATGACAATAATAGTGAAAGAAAGTCCTAGGACAGTTATTTGCCATTGAGGAGACAAGATGCAGTGGGGATAAAAGAGACCTGGAGTCTTTTAGTCTTCCTCACAGGTACTCTAAAACGGCGGCCGGAAGGCAACAACTCAAACTCACTGTGAAGTGGATGGTTCAAACAACTCATAATAGAATGAGCCTTTCTAAGCACATTTCTATTGTAAATGGCCAAAAGTCCATCTTGCCAGCGCCCTGAAATTTTGCTAGCAGTTTTTACCAGAAGTCCCAACCGATTCTTATTCTTCACCGTCAGGTTACCAAACCAGGCAGCGATACAAAAAGACATCACAGATTCGAACACAACTTCTATAAAACAATAACAACATCTCAGATGAGACATTAAATGATCTCATTTTCCTTAAAAAGAACAGTCTTTGTTGAACTTTTTTTTTTAGTAGTGGCATCAGCATGAGATTCAAAACACAGTTTATGGTCAAGTACCACACCTAGATATTTATAACTCTCAACTATCCCAATATCGGCAGATTTAATGATAGTGGGTGATGAGCTATAAGAGGACTTCCTAAAATCAATAATCATGTCTTTAGTTTTTGACACATTAAGTGAAAGGAAGGACTCATCACACCAATTCACAAAATCATCTACAACCTGTCCATGGCCTGACTCGTCCCCCACTAGAAGACTGACGATCACTGTGTCGTCAGCAAACTTCAGGATATGTCTGTTCGTGAAATTGCTGCGACACTCATTCGTGTACAGAATGAACAGTAGGGGAGAGAGGCAGCAACCCTGGGGTGATCCAGTAGAGGAGGAGAGCACATCAGAAAATACATGATTCACCCTCACGCATTGTGACCTATTAGTCAGAAAGTCTGTCACCCAGCCGACCAGACTAGTGTCAAGCTTGAAATAATTGTAAAGCCTGTCAGCAAGTAAGAAGGGTTGAATTGTATTGAATGCTGATGAAAAGTCAGCAAATAATAATCTTGCATGGGTGTGGGGGCCTCAAGATGCTTATACAAGAGATGCAGGAGTGTGACAGCAGCATCCTCCACACCTCTCCCTGCTCTATAGACGAACTGGAAGGGGTCAAGATGGTGTTCAACATGCATTAAAATCTCCATCTTAATTATCTTCTCAAATAACTTCATCACTAAATAAGTCAGAGCCACAGGCCTAAAATCATTCAGTACCTTAGGAGAACTGCCCTTAGCAACAGGAACAATGATGGCATGTTTCCAAATCTTACGTACTGTCTGTAGCTCTGAAGAAAGTGAGAAGATATGGTGAAAAATCCCACTCAGCTGATCAGCACAAGTTCTCAGTACCTGTCCACAGATGTTGTCAGGTCCAGGACTCTTGCTTTTAGTGTTTCTAAAAAGATTAGCTACCCCCTCTCATCAATACAAATTGATGGGGGAGTGATAGTCTTTTCCCTCAGTGTGCTGGTCTGCCTAGAACAGTCAAAGTTCTCAAAACGAAGGTAAAAACTGTCAAGACTGTCTGCCAGATGTTTGTCAGAGGTAAACCCCTCTAAGGTCTAATTAGTCATGTGTCCGTGTTTTTCGTATGAAGCTACTATGTAGTTGATATAAAGAACTAGGTAGGGTGGAAGAGCAAGCCTGCCTCTATACAGCAGGCTATAACAATATGTAACCCATCAAGTCACTATTTAACTTTCTGACTTCACAGAAACTACTGGTTTTTAGAATCATTCATCGTTCATGAATTTTGTTGCATTTAGACCAATTTGTGTTAACTGTTTTTCCCTCTTGTCAAACCAGAAGATTCATTTAATGGCAGAGATTTACAGCTCTTGATTTATAAATGCCAAGTAGATTACATGATGTAAAGGATTACACTTGTTGTTTCTTTCAGTTGTTTAGTTTCTATTGTTACTATGAACAGCTATGTTTTTCATATAGTTCCAGTCAGCAGCTTTTTATTGCTCTGTCATCAAACTCATTCCAACACTCAGGGCCATCTGTTATCTAGAGCAAACACAGCGGCCTGATGGGTCATGAAGTGACCTTATTTGTGTGTTCAATGGCTAGTATTTCCCAAATCTATTTCCTCCATTGAGATTATTAAAAGCACTGCACACAAGGGTGGATTTATAGTGGGAGAAATCTGCAAGCAACACATTGAACAAGATGGATTGGGTCAAACATTTACACGATTGGCTTTTAGTTTCTTTCTGAGTATTAATTTGTGCTTTTTTTTTCTCCCCTCTGTCAGCTTGGATCTATGGCGATCCAAGAGATATTCTTTACGCAAGAAACTCAACTGGCTGGTTCTGTGGAGTTGGGCCAAATAAGTAATTTAACCATTGTTTAGAGTCATTTTATTTAAATATAGAAAATATATACACGCTTAATAATATAATATGAAATAAAAACTTTATTCATGTCTTTCAGAGACCGACCCAACTTGCTTTACTTTGACATTCTCAAATGTGCAACGTCTGTCAATGTGATGGCAAGTGTTCTCAATGGTTTCCAGTGTCCAACCACGCAGGTACACACAGCTGCTGCAGTTGCCCTTCCTGTTCAAACTCTTTACTTTCCTCTCCGTGCTGCATAAATATTCCTATTTTTTTCATTACCCATAGGTGTGTGTGAAAGAATGTCCCTCTGACTTCTGGGCCGTGAAGATACAGTCGTACCTTCCAGGTGAAAAACCTGCAAACGTTTTCAATCCAAATTACTGCGTGCCATCTCTTAACCTCAACAGTTCTAACTTGGTAAGCTACAAATGGTGTTTAAAAGAAAGTATTCTTGTCACGCTACTGGGCTGGCGGCGTGAACAGCCAACTTTGTGAAGATCATAACTCGAGAACAGGGAAACTTGAGACTTTCAAATCTCAGTAAAGTTTGAATATTAGTGACCTCGATGCTTAAAGTCAAGGTCAGAGGTCATGTTTTTTGTACAATATCCTAGGAAATCAGATCTATTAAAAATCTTGGACGAGTTCAAATCTCGGTGACCTTGACCTCAAAGTCAGTGTCAGAAAATCTTAAAATAACTTGCATTAACTGATAGAAGATGTTGCATAGAGGTTTCAGATTTATGCCATAGCTGCAGTCTAGGAGGCAGGGCTAGCACTGGTGGCTGTCTCTATTTTTATGTATTCTATGTATGCAATATTTATTTTTTGGCCAAAACTTGATTGTTAAACATGTTTTTCAGAGTGTTAGTGAGATTGTACAAAAGGAGCGGTGTCCTTTCATGCTCATACCTACAACCCCTGGTCAGTAACAAATTCATATTACTACTTTCATTTAAATTTCCTTGTATGTTCAATACACAGTACAGTACCTTGTGTATAGAGATCTAAAAAACATTCTAACTCCATATTTATGGTTAATTTTATTTTCCTTTTTTGTTCTGTGTGGTTAGTGCTGGGGAGATGTTTTCCTGATATCACAGCCTTGGGGAACATACCTTTATACTTTGCGAATGTTCCAGGCTTGCCTGCCTCAGTGAATGACACTGTTGCCCTCATCAAAAATGGCACTGGGTAATAGACATTATCAAGATGACTATGAATCTAAATGAACCCACAGACTTTAATAATCTTGTGTCTTTTTCCTCCTTATCAACAGCACAGGGTTGGTGGTTTTGTGAGTCTCTGTTTAGCCGTAGCGTAGCAGCTAGTTCTAGTTGCTCTTGTTGCTGCGTTTAACTCACTTATACACAGCGGCCTTAGATTTCATGTGACGCACTGTCTTGGGATTTGCAGCCCTAAAGCATTAATGAGTAGTTGTCTTACACTCTCTGTCTGCCTATGCTGAATATCTTGGGTTATTTCTGGTTTCTATGACTTCCCAGCTTTATTAGTGTCACATTAGACATGTAGAACATAATTATATAAAAATGGTCACTGTTGGCTGCATGATGATCTTTTTACGCACCTTTTAATTACCCCCGTACCACTTTTAGAAATGGGTTTTAAATGCTGTTGTTCGTTGTTTTGTTTTTTTTGTTTATTTGTTTTTTTCATTTGTAGTATTTGTTTTATCTGATAATGACTTTTTACTATTTAAAAGCAAAAGTGCCACCATCACATCTTGTCCTGTTTTGTCTTCGTTAGGGGCATTATCAACAGCTTTAACGCTAAGGACATCGCCACCCGAATCTTTGCAGATTTTGCATCGTCATGGCCGTGGATCATCCTGTGAGTTTCCCTGCTGAACCAGCATTGCACACTGCCACCTGCTGATGTACAGATAGAAGTCAGATTTTGTAATGAAGTTTTGATGATATCGAATAAGCCTTAACACAAAGTAGTAGTGTCAACTTAATATCTAAAATGCTGTATCAGGTGCTCTGTCTTAATAAGAAAACTAACAGAATACAATCACTTTCAATTATTATTTTTAATATAAAAATAAATGATTACTGTATATTAATATACTTGTCAGTGAGTTCAGATGATCTGTTTGCTATCAAAAAGGTACCAAGTTATTGTTTAAAGCATGTGGTTATCAGCATACACTTACATCCTCTTCACGGGGAACACCTGCACAGTGTAATTCAATTAGAAACATGACATGAATTCTGCTTTTACATAATCTATGCATTTTCTTTTTGTCATGTAGGTTAATGATTTCAGTGTATTGCAAATACACTACTGCCCTCACAATTGCTTCAGGAGCAAATATAAAATATTACCTTATTGACAGTGTCAGCAAAAAAGTAAATGGTACCAGTAGAAGTTGTGGCAGAGGCTTTGTATGAGATTACATTAAGTTGGATATGTGTTCTTAATATAGTTTACATCTTTCTCACGGCTTTCTTTTTACCTTAAAATTGTTGCTTTAATTTCTTATAAATGTCCTAACTGTCCCTCCATCCTGTCCACTTGTCCTGTCTCAGTGGTTTGGTGATAGCCATGCTTGTCAGTCTGTTGTTCCTGTTGCTGTTGAGGTTTACCGCTCCAGTCATGGTGTGGGTCCTCATCATTGGAGTGTTGGCTGCTGGAGCTTATGGTAAATACACACCTGGAATAGTTTTTAAATCAGGCACACAGAGGTGCAGTGATGTCTGGATATAAAGAGGACCTAGTTATTTTATTTGTTGAAATACAAAGTGAAGTTAAAAAAAACAAAACAATTTTTTTCTTTTTTCTTTTTTCAGGAATATGGCACTGCGCCTGGGAATATATAAACTACAAACAAAACTCTGCTACCATCACTACAATTGGATTCACCACAAATTTCCAGAGTTATCTAGAAGTCCAAGAGACTTGGCTGGCATTCTGTGAGTGTCATTAAAATGCTATTTAGTTCTAACCTTTGCTGTGCTGTTCAAATGTCACCAAATATTTCTCTGTCTCGTCTTTGTAATGTTCTCAGAGGTTGAGAGCGAGCAAGTTGTGGGTGCATTAATAAGCTAATTGGGTCAAGTGTTGGATATAAAAGTAAATAAATTAATCTAGAACTGGAAATTATGCATTTACACTAGAAAGAAAGTGCTTTTCTTTATATGGCCATTTTGACAGAGTTTATGCACAGCAGCTATTCTGTGGTATTTTACAAGTAAGAGTACAGAGGAAAAGAGAGGTATAAAATCTAAATAAACAAGGACATTATTGGCACATTATGTGTGTACTGAAATCAGTATATCTAAAAATAAATGCAATAAAACCACTGTTGGCTTGCAGGAATTGCATGTCATGTTTACAGCACCTCTTGAATAATGACATTGTAAAACAGATTCAGTAACACAAATATCCTTTGGTTTGGGGGTTATAGTTTTCTTTGTTTTACACTGACACATTAAGCATTGGTAGCTTAATGTTGATTGTTAAAAGATGAATTCTTTTGTGTGTCTGTGCTAAAGGCCACAGTTTATTCGGCAGTAGTTACACACAGTAAAATATACAAAACAAGTATACACACATACACATACATGAGTAAGGTACATAGGTATATAAAAGTTCAAAGCTAGGCATGTTAAAAGATCAGAACAAATAAAGTACATTACAAGTAAAGTAACAGGGAGAACACATGTGGGCTAATATCTGTGTGTATGATTGTGGTGTGTAGCAGTTGGTTGTGGGCTTGTTCCTTTTTGTGACTCTTGTTATTCTGCTCCTCAGTGATAATTTTATGCATAGTTGAGGGGATCCTTCTGCTGACCCTCATCTTCTTACGCACAAGAATCCTCATTGCCATCGCCCTCATCCAGGAGTCCAGCAAGTAGGTTAAACAAAACGAAAAATCATCCACAGGACTGGCTCGCTTTTAACAAATGTGATGTGAATAATTCAATTCTTAATCTTAAAAGGGACTCTATTAGTTTTACTTATCACAATAAAAGTAACAGTGCGTTTTTATCTTATTGTGAAAATGTCACAAAACCTTGGCATGACCTCATGATGTGTGTTGATATTCTGCAGAGCTATCAGCTACATGATGTCCACTCTGCTGTACCCTGTGGTCACCTTTGTTCTCCTGGTGGTGTGTGTGGCTTACTGGGGAGCTACTGCTTTGTATCCATTATTGTTATGTTTGCATGTGTGTACATGTTATTCTCAGGCTACACTATGGTTTGTAATATATAGATGATATTTGATAAACGCTTTCAGTTCTTTTCTTAAACAAATGGATGCAGATATTTGGCTACTTCAGGAAGTCCCACCTACAAAGTGGTGGCTCTGAACTCCACCATGAACGACTGTAGTAGTATCGATGGCACCAAGAACTGTGACCCTCTGGTGAGCCTACTGGGGATTAATTTCCAAGAATTTTTTTTCCTTGACTTGTCTAGGAGATAATTAACTGTAATTCAATTCAGGGTCACCTGATCCAGCCCCAACTATAATCTTCATAATAAGGCTGAAAGTTTTGATTTTTTTTATCTTAAAAATAGAGAGGTATGTTTTGTGAATTCAAACTGGGACCTTGCTCCATAGCAAAGGGACCTGATAGCTGAAGTTTTACCTCACGGTCTTGGAGCAAAGTGTTGTGATATGATGATTGATAGTCTTGTCATTCAGGATTAAAGAGGATTTAAAACGATTGTTTAATTGGTTAATAATTGGTTTACTGTTTGTTTGTTTGTTTGTTTTTGGTAGCCTTTTGGCAAATACATGCACAACCATTTCATACGCCATCACTGCTACTTTCTTGTTCTCCTCGCAGAACTTCACCTCATCGGATTACCCGAACTGCCCCTCAGCCAGCTGCATCTTCATCAACTACAATAGCACGGACACCTTCCGGAAGAACCTCCAGTACCTGCACATCTACAACGTGGTGGCTTTTCTCTGGTGTGTCAACTTTGTCATTGCTCTTGGACAGTGCACACTGGCTGGAGCTTTCGCCTCCTACTACTGGGCTTTCGAAAAACCGTCTGGCATCCCCATGTTCCCTCTCTTTGGAGGTTTTATACGCTCACTCAGGTAGGTTAATGAGCAACTACCACATCCTGCAACAATGAATGAGTAAAGAGTAAATGACCCAGAGGTGCCATTTTGAGACCCAATTCTTTTTATATGATTACAGTATGTTTCAGAGGATAACGCACACAAAGCCTAATATTTTCATAATTTATAATTGGGGGGGCTGAAGAAATATTAGAAACGTGGATTATTTTTCCATTAAGCTGCCGCGGATGACTGTGAACGTAACTTTGTTTTATGTTCTGTAACTTGTCAAACGTTTTTACCTAGAAGTCAAAGTCTTCAAGTAGAGGGTGATTCTTAGTACAGGCCGACCGCAGCAATTACACTAGCCACATCTCTATTTTTTATTTTAACTCTGGTTTGTAAATTGTCTGCTGTACACAGCTAATCTAATATTTCCTGACATGATGTCCCACATAAGTTTTGTTCTTCTTAAAAAAAAAGAACTACATTATCAATGCTGCTATTTCATCATTCATTCTTCAGCACGTTGCATTCAGTAGACAGTAGACACATGTCAGTATAAAAGATGGACATGCCAACATAATGCCAGCCACTGATTTTTCATGTCCTGTTTTGAAGCCTTGACTTGAGCGCTGTAATCTTAGTGTTTTGAAACCAGATGTCATGAGGCTGATCAGACTGAGAAACTGAGGGACACCCCATTCATTGCTAACCATTGGCCATATCCTAAGTAATACTCCTTCCTGACTCTAAAAATGATCCCAATTTACAAAATGGACTTGATGTTGTATTTACGAAACTAACAACTGGACCTAAAATCTTACCACAGAGCGAAGGAGCTAAAGAAGATTTTCACATATGTCTTTGTAAAAACAGAAGTGTCTGTTTAATTGTCGTTGCCAGTTTTAGGCAGTTCAGTATTAGTTTAGTTTTTACACGTGGAATCTACATATATCTTTTAAACTGGCTAAGAATACAACATGTAATGATTTTTCAAGGTACCATTTGGGCTCGTTGGCATTTGGTGCTTTGATCCTGACCCTGGTTCAGATCATGAGGTTGATCCTGGAGTACATTGACCAGAAAACAAGAGGTAAGAGTGATAATATTCTCAGATGTCACTGCCACAGGATACGAGTAAAAGTATATTTTGAAATAACTAGGTGGTCAAAGATGTTTATATACTAAGACACTAAGAATTTTCCCTGACTTGTCGTCTCCAGGGTCGCAGAACAGTTGTGTGCGTTTTATATTGTGCTGCCTGAAGTGCTGCTTGTGGTGTCTGGAGAAGTTCATCAAGTTCATCAACAGGAACGCTTACATCATGGTGAGAGGACATCATGTGAAAAACAGCCTTTGATATTAACTATAAGCGTTTCTTTTTCTACTCTAAACATGATAAAATTTGTTTTACTATCTTTACATAATTTATCCAGTATTTCACTGGAGTCTGAAAACCACTTTTTTTTTTCTTTTTTTTTGTCAGATTGCCATTTATGGGAAAAACTTCTGTGTCTCAGCCAAAAATGCTTTTCAGCTGCTCATGAGAAATGTGATAAGGTTTGTGTTGTAGTTATTTCCACAGTAAAGGGTCTGTGCTTAGTACTTCATGCTTACAGTTCCTGTAATGCTTGTACAGAACATGAATGTATTTGCACATGTTTGAGAGACTGAGTGATTTAGTGTCGTGTTTCTCCGTCCTGTCCTGCTTGTGCTCTCAGGGTTGTGGTGCTCGATAAAGTCACAGACCTGCTGCTGTTCTTTGGGAAGCTGATGGTGGTTGGAGGTGTAGGTAAGGATGACATTGATTCATCTAGCAAATCTGTCACTGTGGGGTTTTTTGTAAAAATACTCTGTAGCAGGTTTTATGTTATTTTAGAATATTTTCAATTAAATTTGTAGATTGATTTTTAATCTGTTGGGGAGATGTTCCAATTTATATTTATAAAGGAACTAGACGAGTCTGGCCTGGTCCAAACTCGTCTGCCTTTTAAGCTGTTACAATTGTCAACAAGTTGATAAATGGTCTTTGTGCTGTGTGCTGGTGAGTGCAGTGGAAGCATCAGAGAAAACTCAAAACAGCTGCAAGCTACATCCGCAAACATGGTGGAGAGGCAAATTTATGAGATTAAAAAAACAAATCAGCTCTATGCTGTGCATAGAGCTGGTAAAGAGTGCACAAGGCAGAAACACTGCCAGTGTGTTTGGAAGCTGCCAGGGACGAAATGTCACAGACACGCACACGATGTGCACCCAGGGTGAGACGGGAACGCCCTGTGGGTTGATCACTGTGACTGACTCTGAGACACTCTCATTTAAATCACCAGTCATCTCTCATTGGAGTATGATTGAACTTTGAAGTTAAATAAGTGGAAACTGGAAAAGTTCAGTTTCTAGTTGAGTTCCTGCCAAACAGAATCTGTTTCAGTTGTTTTTAGCTGCATGTTAAAACAATTAGTGCTTTAAGGGGAGTGCTAAAACACAGGAAGTTCAAACAATCAATTTAAAGAAAAAGAAAAAGTACAACTAAAATATATACAAAGCTGCAATAGTTTACATTCAATCATTAAAAAAAGTGATAAATGCTAAATTAGAAAGTACAAAAGAAACCCTGAAAATGATGAAAGCATCTCAGCAGCATTTGGTCACTGCTGATTAAACTCTAATATCTCAGTTTGTCTGAAAGAATAGGTTCTGAAGTCTGAATCTCCTTTCCAGGTGTTTTGTCTTTCTTTTTCTTCTCTGGACGAATTAAGCTGCCGGGCTCCAGCTTCCGTTCCGAAAACCTCAACTACTACTGGATGCCAATAATTGTGAGCTAATCTCTTTTTTTAGGATAGTTGTCCTTGTTTCCATTTTTCAGGGATTCGTCATTGATTTATTTTTTTCCTTTGTTCCTGTAGACGGTGGCGTTGGGTAGCTACCTCATAGCACACGGATTTTTCAGCGTGTATAACATGTGTGTGGACACACTCTTCCTCTGCTTCTGTGAGTAAATACAATTTACTGAATAATGTTTGATCACATTATTTCCACATAAGCGAGCAGCGCATTGCTCACACTCGTCTTCCTGTCTCACCCACAGTGGAAGACCTGGAGCGTAATGATGGATCTGCAGAGAGGCCGTACTTCATGTCTAAAGGCCTCATGAAAATCCTCAATAAATCCAACAAGATTCAAAAAAAGCAGAAAGCTAAGGACTGAAGATATTTGTTGGGGTTTTCTGCATATGTATATGAAACCACACAAAACTGTCACACACATTCAGGATGTCTTTCTTTGTATCTCTTCACTTTTAGATATCATTAGCTAGGTTTAACAAAATTACTCTGCAATTTAGCACTTTTTAATAGCTTGCTTTTTGTTTTAACATTTATATTTAGTATTAATGACTGTACATATAAAAGGACCGAGAGATTCCAAGTAATGCAAATCTATTCATCTGTTCATTTGTTTTTCATTAGCACTTTTCTGTAAGGTGATCTTTCTTTGCTTTAGCAGCATTTAATCCTCCTGCTGGTTGATTGGTTGTTACAGTTTTGAATGTCAGTTGAAAGTTAAGACTCAATGTACAACTTGAATTCTAGAGAAACATTTAAGCTAATTTCTAAAAATGCTCTTATATATTTTGAGATTGGTAAAGTTTTTATACATTTTTATGTTCACAATATTGTTAATTAATTGTAAAAGAATAAAGTTGTAAATATGAACATCTGCCTCCAGCAGCTTCTGTGTGGATTCTCATCGTTTTAGAGCCATTTTTTCCTACCTCTGAGTTCAGTTTCATATTTACTATCAGAATCACCTTTTTTACTTTCACAAGTAAAATATTACGGTATTCGCTATATGGTCCACATGATAGTTGTATTTTATTAGAACTTCATTAGGATTTTCGGGTAAAACCCATCTCACATTGGCCTTGTATAGTGCACTCTGCAGGATTGTACTGCATGAATTGTAGATTGGGGTTTCTAGTCATTTTAGAGCTTTTTCAACATATCTGAGACGAGACCAGTTTAGAGCTGACCGATAAATCTGCCCCTTTCACAATAGGAAGAGATATTGATTTATTCACTGATCTGATTTTGGAGAGTGCCTTGTATATTGTAGTCAGTAGTTTGGGGGTTTTGAGATTATGGATAGCACCACAATTGATAGTGTTTATAATTTGACCTGATTAGGCTTAAAAAATTTTTCACTGTAGAATTAATTTGATGATTGTCTAAAAATCTATTCACATTAATCCCTTATTGTAATTCTAATCTGTCAGATGGAATGAAGTCTATTTCTAAATATATGTTTGGAGCATTTTAATTCCTTTACAACTGCAATCTAGGAAGTTTATCATGTTATTGTCTTGTCAGGCTTCAGGGTTGTTCCAGATGGGTGTATGCATGGGATTAATGAAGACTGAAGATTTTTAAAAACTCCCACCATGCTGTCATAGATGAGCCAATATTAATGCTTTTAAAGCATACGTGTCATTTGATGTTTCAGCTACTGAATGGTAGCACTGAAATCTCTATTTTTACATAGTTTTACCTAGAATTATTTTATTCTTCAATTATTTTCATTAAATATATTTTATGAATATTTAATTTTCCAGTCTGAATAAAAGTCCCTGAAAGTTTTGTTTATTCTTTCAGGCTCCAGTACTGTGTTTTTAGCACATATGGGTTTTCTTTTTTTAACTGGTTAGCTAGAAATCAACCTGATTTGTTCCCATGTTCAAAATTTGGCAAGTGCAGTCTTTGTCCTAACAATCGAGTTCTGTTTCTTTCTTTTTTTGGTTTGTTTTAAATCAATAATTTCATTTGATTTTAGTTTTGCCTTGTGTATTAAGCTCAGCATTTCCTGTTCCTGGGAGAAAACATAGGCTTTGTCTAAGGATTTAATTGTTTCTTCTAATTGTTACCCTAACACAAGAGGAAGGTTAAGTGCTTGATGATCAGTTGAACTCTTAGGAGACTAAAATAATGTTGTGCATGTTTCTTATCTCATCCAACTAAAAGCTCCACCCTAAAATGTGTAGATTAGATTGAAATCTCCGATTATTTACTTCAAATTACTCTTAGAAACTACAATAGCTCATCCAGTTAATTAAGCTGCTCTTGAATGTAACATTGTAATGTTTATCCAGTTTGAATTGAGCTTTGCAAATGTGAAAACATCGTATTCTATTAATATTAATCACAAGGCACTGGCATGCATGACATGACTAGGAGCTGCAGGTGTCCCTGCAGGTTTTAGATCTCACCCTGGGTCAACACGCCTGAATCCCATGATTAGTTCATTACCAGGCCTCTGGAGAACTTCAGGACATGTTGAGAAGGTAATTTATCCATTTAAATCAGCTGTGTTGGATCAAGGACACATCTAAAACCTGCAGGGACACCGGCCCTCGTGGACTGGGATTGGGGACCCCTGGCCTATAATATGTGAAACATGTCAAATGAATCCCTTGTGAATGATATTAAGCCACAAACAGCATTCCTGTTACAAAGTAAAAGTCCCAGTTTTTAGCACAACACCCATTTTACCTCTGACTGCATAAATATGACAGAAAAATAATGAAAAATCACAACAGGTCAGCTTTTAATGTAGCAAATGATCACATCTGAGAAGCTTTCAATAAATAACTTGATCATTTTCTGTAAGTTAACTCAGTTGTTTAATTGCCCACTTCAATAAAATAAAAAATAAATAAATAAAAAAAAAGACAACACAGAACGAGACCATGTTTTAATCTTAGTTCATTTTTGGTTTTGCACTACGTCTCCATGTTTCTCCAAAGACTTCCATCACTCGTTTTAGTGTCACATAAGCCTCACAACATCAAGTATTGAGAGAGGATGAGCCCTGGGCAACTATAGAGGACCCGCATTCATTTCTGACCCCGATATGATTGTTGAAGTGCTAAAGACCTGGATGCAAATCAGCGGAGCTCGGCTTGAGTCATTCTGGATTCCCAGGCAGAGCTCACCGCGTGCTATAAAGTTACAAGAAGCCTTTCAGTGTGAAGTGTTTCTAAAGAGGGGAAAAAATATAAGAGGAACAAGTGCTCATCATACTCCTAGTAACTCACACTTGAGTGCAGTTGATTTCTGCATAACTGTGGGAGATTCTGATGTGGGAAAACATGAAGCATAAAGCGCTATGACTCCGATTCGTTTATTTTGGCCCATGTTTGACTAGAATATTCAAGAAGAAAAAACACAAAAAAAAACCAAAACAAAACAAAAAAAACCACAAAAAAAAAACCTCAGGGGTCACTTAACACTTTGCACTTCACATTTTTAAACACATTAAAATGAATTTGTGTCAGTTACTCTGCTGTACAGTCAAAAGAACTACAAGCCTCGTCAAATCATCACATTAGCGGGGCAACAAAATTCTGCTTTCTCAGGAGGGGGATTATTAACTTTTTAAATCAAACGAGCTCCGAAAAGCAAGAAGCATCTCAAGACCCACATCTTGTTCTCTTTTGCTCTCCACGGCTGGTCCTCCAGTCAGAAATACATAAAAACAGCATTTACAATATCCATATGTACAAATACAGAATGTATACACACGCACTCAGCCACATACAGTCAGGAGAAATCAAAGGACGTAATTTAGATCTGTTTTTTTTTTTTTTTTTTTTTAAATCATGTGTGAGGAGACCAAACTGCTGCTTTTCAATCCTGCATATTGATTTATTCTGCCCCCTTTTGTTAACCGTGCACCTCACACTCTTTAAAGTAGCTGATGTGGGCATGAAAAACAACCTAACCGGCCCATTTTCCCCCAAACACGCAGGGAACTACAAGGAACAAGTGGTCCGACAACGGCACGCGCCCCGAGGTGTAGGGCAGCTCCGACTACAGACAGCTTCACAGTGCGAAGGCAGTTTTTGTTAAGACAAATGTTTAGAAGAAGAAGAAAAAAACCAACAAAACACAAAAGCATCCCACAGGGCTGCTTCTGTCTGTCGCCAATTCTACGAGAACGTCTCCTCCCTGTATTCTAACCCCTCTCACACCCTTCCTCTCTGTGCTTCAGGAAAACCCACTTTCCTAAAGACTGCTCCACCCAGCTTTCTTCTTCTGCAACACTGGACACCAAAAGACGAATAAGATCTCGCGACGTAGCTCACCCTGATCATGTAATACTGCCTCTTTATGCTCTCTGTGCATCCATCTACAGCTGTGTGCACACTGGGAGGGCTTACTCGCCTTGGGGGACAGGCGCTGCACTACTTTCCAGTGAACTTCTTGCATAAATAAAGAGCAGGTGGAGGAGAGGGGTGGGGCCGAGTGTCCTGAAGTGATCTGATATAGTGAGGAAGAGAAAAATCAAACTTCTGTATTCATGGTCTCAAACACAAACCTCCCTCTACCCCCTCCGGTTAGAAAATGGAACGCGAGTGTGTGTCTGTGGCTCGGGTTAAGTGTGCGAGTTGTGTTTGCCGTTTTGTTTTTTTGTTTAATGCGCCCCTCCCTCTCAGACATCAATAATCACTTGTGTGTCCGCCACCAGGTCTGCGTCACACGCTTAGCAGCCAGAAGAAGAAGAAGATGGCGACGAACAGGAATAGAGAGTCTTGCCAGTTGTTATTGCCGTTGTTGCCGTTGCCGTTGCCCTGGTGGTCACCGACGTACTGATCTACAGGAAGAGGAGAAGGATTGTGAAGGTTAGTATAGCTGTGAGTGTTTATAGTTTGTTCCTTGGGGAATTTTCCTTGTGCACCTCTGGACTGCATCCAGTTCTGGAGCAATTTTCAGGTTGCTCCTGCTCTGATCGTTTCCTGTGCCAAACTGACTCTGAGCCCACATGTCTTTAGTCGTTTTCTCCTCCGTTCTAGATCTATTTTAACAGCCTGAGGCATCTGAGTTTTAGTTTTGTTGGGGGGG